TTAGGAAATAAACAACATTCAAAGTTGCGTTTAAGAAATGGCCTTAAACCTGAATGCTTTGCCCGAGAGACAAATCTGCTATCAGATTGGTATTAAGCGAGTTCGGCTCCCAAGTGCAGAGCATCATTCTTCGAAAAAGTTCTCATTCACGCTCTTTCAGTTCAATCCTGGTTGGAATTCTGCGAGACATGTTTTCCTCCTGTGTTCTACTGCTGTGCAGCGAGGCAGCAGGCGAAAGCACAGCTCTGTCGAACCCGGCTACAAAAACATATGTTTGAAGCCCGAAACTGTTCAAGCAATAAGGTACAAACGACTTCCAAACCAGATCATGAACATAAGAAACGTAGTCATCAGGGCACCAAAGCACTATATATATCTCTCAAAAACGAGCAGGATATTTCGATTGTGCAAAACCTCGTTACTATTCCCATGGCAACTTCCCACATTACCCGCTTTGCAATCGGCTAGACGGTCTCCGAGACCCAGGTTAGGTAATTTATGATGATGCGGATGAAGATGTCTCGAATGAGAGCTTGTTACAAGGGGATTCGGGGAGTAGCTAAGCTTCCTGGGTTCGGAGACTGCCTGGTTCCTAGCAGGTTGGGCAGATTGGGCAGATTTGGGGCTAAAAATACAATCTTTATCCCACATCACCCGACATGCTTCGTTGGCAATGCAATATCTGCTCATACGTCAGCAAGACAGTTTGGTATCGGTAATCTGAAACCTTCAAACAAATGACAGTCTATTGATTTCGGTATCAAGATCGTTGTTCTACCTGACGGTCATCCGAAAGATGCTGTCCGAGGGTAGTATGTATCATTTCCAATTTACACTCCAATGTTTGGAAAATGCTGAGGTTAAAATTGTGTCTTCTTAGCCAAGAGACAGTAAAGTAGAGAATCTGTTTATTGATATGCCTGGCCATTTGACTTAGTCAATTTCAGAAGTGAAAACAAGACCAAGTTGCGACAACGAGGTCAACCCACTTTTATAAATCGAAAGGAGACTGCGACCATACCAGACGCCACGACATCTGGGTCTTCATATCTTCAATTAGTCAATTTTAGCTGTCGTCAGCCTGGGTTGAAGAGAATGGGAGGACCGGGAGATGCAGATACACAAGATTTCCCCATCTGTCCCCGCTGGGGCGACTCGCCAGTTTTAATGTTGTATATTACTGAGTGAGATAATGAATTTTTCCACAGTCAAACCTATATTATAGGAACATTATGTAAATATGACCGACCTCGTAAAGTTGACGGTTCCGAATCCGCTTAGTAGTTGAGCAGTTTGCTAGCAGATAATTGAAGACCTAAAGGATAGAACTTCTGCCAGGCTCTGACAAACTTTCCATTTATCAGCGTTCAAAGAGTTTAATGCAGCATTACAAAGGCCGAGTGACTGTGTAACGAATACCCTTTCTGTCATGGCCAGCCATGAAGGGCAAATGAGATCAAATATTTGCGTCAAAGCAGCAACTATGGGAGTAAACACAGTCTAGTTTATGCCACGAATCGAAATAGGAGCCTAACTGGATACATGACATAAGCTTCTATGGAACTGATAGGCATCAGAATGACATTCTGGGTGAATCAGTGAACTAGTAGAATGTATTTTTCGAGGTAAGTATTGTTTTTCGTGACTACCAGTAAATCAGTTATAAGATGTATTCACCCAATTTCGTTTAAGGTG